CATACACAAGCCTTCTCTGTCACTTCTGCTGCTCGTGACTTGGTTTATCTACTGGATGAATTCGAAAATAATGCTGAAAAAGTGGGCGAAGTTTATCTTTATGGCACGAGTTATGGCACGTACTTAGTGGAGCGGGTGATGCACTTGGCACCGCCTCAAGTGAAGGGATATATTCTCGACGGTGTGGTGTCTGAGGCGGGATCAGATCCAGATACAAGATTGTTCTTCTCGCACTGGGATCGGAATATTTTGGCACCGACAAGAAGATTTTTCGAACTCTGCGCGGATCAAGAAAATTGCCCTCTCCAGCTAAATATTGGTGAAAATGAAGATGTTTTGAGTGCTGTGCTAGATATTTACGGCGAAATTGATGAAGCGATGAGTAACTGCGCGTTGGAATTGATGCTGCTCACGGGTATCGAGACCCCATCACAAGTACTACGTCCACTAATGGGGTTACTTGTTCGAGATTTTTCCGCTCGCACACTGGTTCCGTCAATCTTAGGACGCATGCATCGATGCAACAGTAAAGACCAAGAAGAACTGGAATTGACACTGGGTCCACTGCTAGATTTGATCATTCAGAAAGCCCAGGGAGTGGCAACACCAACAGGTTTTGACAACGTTAAGTTGCTAAACTCACGTCTTGCAACAACAGAAGTAGGGTCCATTGATCAGCTAGTGTATTTATTGATTTCCTACTCGGAGCTCTGGTCTAAACCATCGCCAACGGAAGCGGAACTTCAGGATTTCTATATGGATGGTGCCTTTTCTATAGGGTCTGCTGCGCTGGCTCAATACTGCCTTCTCACTGGAAATTTAAGCCCGGCAATCTCTACAAATATGAGAGACCCAGCGTGTAGTGAAATATCGCTCGACTTTGAAGATAACTCTAACTATACTCAGAGTTTCGTGTACTCTGTGGACGAATACTCTAACAGAACAGCCTCTGTACCACCCAATACTAGTTTACTGGTGATCAATGGTGGACTGGACTTCCAGACGCCGAGGGAGTTTGGGCGACATCAATACGAGTCGACAGCTCTGAGTGACCCTGAAACGAGTCGAAAGATGCTGGTAGAGTTCGATTTTGGTGCTCATGTATGCGGTCTCACGGCTACGACTACAGACGATGACACGCTGTGTGGACCAAGAATTGTGGCGTCTTTCATCGCTAACAG